AAAATTAGATTATTCTTAATGTTTTGATAAATTTAATTATTATTTATTTTTAACGTTATGATATTTAACGTTTATTTATTTTCTTTATGTTACAGCTAATAAGTTATTAATGTATAATTAAATTGACAATATTCCGAAGTTGGATTAATCTCACAAGATCATTTTACTTACCGATAAGTTCTAACGAAGATTTATCATTTTGTGATAAAATAATAGGTAAAAGAACCATAAAAGTGCAATACTTCAAAATCATCCTGGAGTATTCCGTGATCGTGGAGTTCTTTTTTTTTTTTGTAATTCTGTGGGTAAATTTATTATTTAGCATTAAAAGATAATAGACAATCGATTTATTTGATATGATCTAGACGAGAATGACTACTCCACTTCGCGATAATATCAAAAAAATTATTTGCAAGTTTCGTTGGAGTTTTTCAAAATTACTATTATCACCAGTAGAGTTTCTATTCCATTTCTAACGACAAACTAATCTATCTTTTTTTTTTTTTTTTTTTTTTTTTGAAACACAGTTCTACTGATTAGACTGATTAGATTAGATTTGTTCGTTCATTGGTGAGTACGTTTATTTGTGACATCATTTCTTTTTCTCTTTATCTATTTATTTTCATTACTGTCGAAATTCTATTACCAATGTTTACACGTATAGATGTATCATAAGTAAACTCATATTATTTATCGGCTACTCACCGTCTATACTTTTACGAAACGAAATTTTTATTTTAGAATGAGCGTGGATTAAGAATTGGCTTGACTTTCTTGAAGAATGTACAAAATATAAAGAAGTAAGAATCATGAGAATTTCATGAGTTTATCTCACGATAAACAAACCGGAAAAAGATAATATTCGTAAGTATAAAAATACGTAGATCAGAAAACACTTGTAATAACAATTCATATTTATCAATCGTTTCCAAACATTCGACGATTCCCGTATCGTCAATATTATACTTACGTAAGTTCATGTATAAATCTTTGATTAATGAATTGTAATATTTGAATCAGATAATATATATATATATATATACGCATAATTATGAACATATAAGGTTGAAATTTCGTTATAGAAAAATTTAATTTTACGATCTTTTTTTGTTATATTTTGAGTATTGATATAAAATATATAGAATTCTTTTTGATAATGTGCTAAAAAATTGTCAAAGTTTTACATTTCTTTTATGATTGATACATTACTGTAATCTGCCGCGTCACCACGGTGACGTAGCTACCTTTTTCTCTTTCTTCCACCCCTTTTTTCTTTATCTCTCTCTCTCTCTCTCTCTCTCTCTCTCTCTCTTTCTTTCTCTAGCCTTCTCTTTCTTACGTTTTCACTTTTTATCTCTCCGTTTTATACTCGCACCTCACGCTAACATCTCCCTCGAGTACGGACCGACAGTTAGAGGGTGTGCAATCTTACGAGTAAAACGCAAACGGTGAAAGTAGGGGGGTGGTTGGTGGTGGTGTGTTTACAATACTAATATTAACGTCGCGCCGACTGTCATTTCTCGTGCAAACAAGCGCACCCTACTGACATACGTGACGGCCAACATAGACGAAAGGATTCTTCTTACTTTTTTTTTACACTTTTCCCTATTTCTCTCCGTTTTCTTGATGAACATACGGTTTTATGATAGCATGCTATGCGAGAATAATAGTAGATTTTTGTTAGATTCGAGGAAAGAAGATATACAAGAAGAGAAAAAGAGAAAGAGTGAAAGAGAGAGAGAGAGAGAGAGAGAGAGAGAATAAAAAGTGCAATCTTTTAAGATCCTACTTCTTGTCCCGACGATAAAATGGAAAATTTCGTGGCTTTGTTCTTCTTCCTCTGTTTCTCTCTTCCTTTTTTCTAATTATTATGCGTCTACCCTTTGTGCTTGACGTTTGTCTGAGCAGGTTCATATCTGCCATTGCTCTGTTTAAAACTTATGTATGTACTTAGACATATATATATATATATATATATATAGACATGTGTCTAAGTACGTTGCGAATGTACGTGTAAACGCTTTGATAGTATAAGTATCGTCTGATACTTTGAACACACCGACGTTCATAAATCGTAGACGGGTGCACGGAAAGTCCGTTTACCTCGTTACGGTGATGCGGAACGATCTCTCGTCGATTTGTTACATTTTTCGTTGAGTGTAATCCTACTTAATCCTAAGACATAATATAATCGATCGATAGCAAATAAGGTAGAGACATGTAAAATATCTATCTGTTGTATAAATATACCAATGTACATACTACGTATATATATATATATATATATATATATATATATATATATATATATATATATATATATATGTTTAATCTATATCCAGTTTTTCTTCCGCGAGGTGGAGCAGTACGGAATCGTTTCATTTCGTCAGAGATTTCTCTGATCGATCGCGGATTCCACGCTGACGCAATCTTATTAATGGGAACTTTCGTTGGCAAGCCTTCGGCTTGTAGCACTGCCGCAAAGAACTAAAGGAGAAAATGTCTACCTCCTCTTACAAAGGCACCGTTTAGGTCGCGAATAAACGACGGATACCGTGATTCCGTATCCGTTATGATGTAACATTGTACATATATATATATATATATACACCACAATTCATTTGACAGGAAGTACTGTGGTTTCACTTAACTTTTTCGACTTTTATATATAACCATAAATAGAATAGATTGCTCGTGTCTGTATAAACGAAAGAGATATCGTCTCTTCCGAATTCCTTTAATCGTATGTATCACGTCGAGAGCAATACGAATGCTAATTTATACGATTATTTTATGATAATAAAAAATAAACGCGCAGTATATGGGTTATGTAACGGAAACTCGTTCTCCTCTATCAAAGCAAATTGCTTTCCGAAAGCTACCACCTTGATTTCTCGATTTCGTTCCGCATATCCGCCATAATTTCTCACGCGTAAACATGCAACGATCGATCCTAGAGAAGTTCCTGATTTTAAAATAAGTTTCTCGACGTAGAATGATTGTTAAGATGAGATAAATATGGTAACCAATATTTACCGTCGGTCGCGGTCGGTCAACGTGCTCTTTTCAAATAAGAACGCTCATAAGTAAAGTACAGTTTTCGCGTCCGGTTATTCTTTCCCGCGATCTTCATTTCCTGTCTCCTTGAATCATGAACATAGATATACTATTCCGCATTAATACGCAAAGAGAATTGAACTCTCTAATAAGGAATTAATTAAATCCAGCTGATAATGAAACTAGTTTAACACTCGGGAGTTTATTAATGTTGAAAGTTTTATAAAGTAACTGGAACGTTGACTTCAAATAAAAATTTATTTATTCAGAAAACATGCATTATGGCCGGCATACGAACGAAGTTTTGATTAATGGATAGAGTTTAAACTCCTTGAGAATCTCTTTCGACTCTTCAATGTTACGTACTGTTATTGATATAGAACCGGAACTTTCTCATTTCTATTTTTCTCCAAATTCTCGGACTCGACTTTAAATCGTACACTCGTATCCATTCGCTTAGGAACAACGTACTCTTGCTAAAATACAGTGCCGCGTGCACGTAACGCGTATGTAAGCGCCGTACTTTCGACGTCCTACATCCCTGGAACCTACTTTCCTAGATTTTAAGATCGCTTGTATACGTCGAGTTCACTTTCAATTTCTACTTTTTTACGCGACAGCCTCTCGTTCCGCTGCAGAGAACGCATCTCATTGTTAGCATACGAAAACGACTTTTGGGTGTGGTAAGTTTAGGGTGGGATGTTTTTTTTTTTTATTTTTCCCTCGCTTATACGTGTGAACATTGTTACCGGAAGAACCATAAGAAGAGAAAACTAACAATGTGACTCTTTCACGTCCTACGGGATTCAGAGAACTCCTTTATAAATGTTTGCATTGTATACATTTTGTGCAACGTGCGACTATAAGCTTCGATAACTGGCAAACTATTGTTTAGTTTTTGTTCCCTTTCTTTCTTCATTTTTCTTTATATTCTTACTTATTTCATTTTATACGGTACTCCTTATACGGTATTCTCTGTATGATACTTACGCAGCATTCTCATATGCATCGCTCGATCTTTTCGTATCTTTTCGCTTTATCTGTGAGAGACTAAAGGAGCTCGTATTACTGAACGATCTCGACAGCGCGAGAAACGTCTCGGTTGCAAAGTACATAGTACACGTAATGCGATGGCGTACGTGAGAGATGTCAAGAGTCTTGGAAGAAAGAAAGAAAGAAAGAAAGAAAAAGAAAGACAGAGAGAGAGAGAGAGAGAGAGAGAGAGAGAGAGAGAGAGAGAGAGAGAGAGAGAGAGAGAGAGAGAGGTCTTACTCAATGGATGCGATTAACGTGCTTTTTTCTCACTTTGACATTTACACGAAAGGTTTTTATGGCCTATCGTCTTAAAGGTAAATGGCTATAAGCTCGTAAGTGGTTGTTTTGCTACTGGCACACTTAGAGAGTTATATACCGACAGCGCAACGGGTGAAAGTCCCCTTGCAATTCTTCATAATCGCACGGTCAGAAGCAAGCTAAGGCAACGCTTTTCCCTCTGTCATAGGTTGCTCATTAAGAGGAAAAAGAGGAGGGGAGGTTTCGTAACGAGAATAACTTAATACAAAAAAATATCATTTTATTCATTTACGAAAAAAAAAGAAGAAAAAAAAAGAAGATATAATATAATACAGGTTGTTCGGGTAGAATCTCAACGAATACAATATCGGTGCATTCGACATGAACGAGAGCCAGGAGGATCATTCCCGGTGGCATTCTCATTTTTTATTTATTTATTTATTTTTTTTTTCCATTCTTACTATCGAGCGAAATTTTTCTCTAGAATCTAATATACCCACGAGTGTCATTCCCTCTTCCTCGTGGGACATTACGTGGTCTTCTCTCTCTGATGTTGGTGCGCGGTTTTGATCGGAAGGTAGAAGGAAGAAGAGAGTTTGCGGTGGAGGAGGGAAAGGATAAGAAGAAGGAAAAACTCGAAGAGTGAGGTCCCTGTTGGTCGTTGTGCTATATCACAGCCCGATCTCAGTGATGACCGTAGCCACCGAGTTCGAGCTCGTGTCCACCACCGTAACCACCGTCGCCAAATCCACCGCCGAAACCGCCACCTCCGTGATGATCCTCGAGTACGACGGGATAAGGTTCTTTTACGACGACTGGGACTTTAATGGGATAAGGTACGGGTTTTGTCACAGTGTAAGGAACCTTGACAGGCACCTTGACCGGATACGGCACTTTGACGGGCACCTTGACTGGTACCTTGATGGGATAAGGTACTGGCTTATCCACTGGATAAGGCACGTGCTTCTCGACCGTTACCGGATAAGGTGCTGGCACGTGTACGGGAACCGGTCTATCGATGGGTACCTTAACCGGTACTTTTACCGGATAAGGTACATGTTTTTCGACCTCGACTGGATACGGTGCAGGGACAGGTACTTGTTTCGTTATTGTCACCGCCGGAATATGTTCGGTCGAGATCTGTTCACCTCCTCCGAAGCCACCACCACCAAAACCACCTCCTCCGAAGCCACCTCCTCCGATGCCACCTCCTCCGATGCCATGACCTCCGCCAAAACCTCCCCCTAAACCGTGACTACCCAGGCTCAGTTCTAGGCCACGCTTCGTTTTTTCATCCTTTTTTTCGATGTTAGACTCACTCTTCTTCGTCTCCTCGGCCACGGCCATTAAAGCCAGGCTGCACAGGAGTAGCACCTGAAAAATATCAATATTCGTTTCCCATTAACTTTCTAATTCTTTTTTTTTTCTTTCTTTCTTTCTTTCTTTCTTTCTTTCTTTTTTGCGCTCGTTAACGCGACGAGGTTTCCGGTTAAAGAGAAAGAGATAGAGTAAGAGAAAGAGAGACAGAGAGAGAGAGAGAGACAGAGAGAGAAAGGGAAAGAGAGAAAAAGAGGGAGAGGGAATCTTATAGAGAGCGTGTCTTTGAGATAATTATAATAATAATTATTATTATTATTATTATTATTATTATTATTATTATTCGTTAATGTAATGAAATAAGAAGAAAAAAAATGGTCTATCTCTAGCGAATCTAAAATAAAGTCCTTAGACGAGCGGAGGCTCTCTCACGAATGGTGCGATTCGAGCGGCTGCAGTCGCTACTCACTTTCAGTTTCTCGGTGCTGTACATGTTGGTCGGCAATGTGCACACTGGCTCCTCTATGGGCTACCCTGGCTTTTATAGGGGGACGTAACTGGCAACGGGCCGTCCGTACGGGCAACTCGAGCGTGCCAATGAAATTATTGCAGAGTAGGAAGTTAACGGCAGGAAAGAAGGAACAACGACTTTGCGGACAACGCTGTTCTTCAAACTCCTTTGTTTCATCTTCTTTTGGTACTTTAATTTCTATCTCTTTCTCTCTCTCTCTCTCTCTCTCTCTCTCTCTCTTCTCTTTTTCTTTCCGTTTTCCAATTTTACTTCTTTATTCGAATTACAAATTACGAGTTTCTTTTTGTTTAGTACGATGAATATCCCCATTTTAAATTTAACAAGTCCAAACTTCTTTTTACAATTGCTGATTTTCTACGTGAGAAAAGGCACGTTTCCAAAAAGAAATAAAACCAGAGATAGATAGAGATAGATAGATTGACAGAGAAATAGATAGAGAGAGAGAGAGAGAGAATAAGAGAAGGACCTTATTGTGCATAACATCGAATTTCGAAAGAAAGGAAGGACCCTTGTCGATTCAGTCGAATGGAGAACACAGAAAACCTTTTTGCCAACGTAACATGCATTCGCAATAAGCTTCTGACGCATGAATATTATCGATAAGGATATTATTTATTATTAATCACGATACTAAAAAGTTCGATATATAATCACAGGATTTCGTTAAATTTTCTCGTCGCTCGTTCAAGGAGCTTTTGACTGTAGTGTTAATAATGGCGCAACGGAGACAATAACTAATTATGGCTATAATCAGATATCATTTTTAATCCGATTAAGTTTAACAAAAGGGATGCTCCGTTTCTTGGTAGCACCACGGGAAACTTGATTAATATTACAAGCTCGTATAAGCTGCGAAAGAAGCTATTTAGTTTTCCTTTCATAATGTTTTAATCGCATTGCTTATGATGCTAATTTGATTTAATATTTATTTATAGAAAAAACAAAGTTAGTTAGATCTTTTTGTACGATTGTGGAATTCGAATCGTCCTATTTATCGTTATAATGTGTCAATTACGTTGCCCGCTTCGGTCGTTTGATAATCGTTATTGCATAAATCCTCGACGTTCCCTCTCATTGCTTTACTACGTCGCTTTAACGCGCTTATGCAGAATCATTATATTTTTACCGGCACGGCAAAATCGTACATCATCTTTAATCTCACGTGCACGTTACTTTTTTGCGTAACACAATTCGAGACACAAGTGTGGCGAAACGAGGTACGACGCGAGTTCTTTTTTTAACCAACATTTTTAACGAAAGAGAAATAGAAAAAATGAAAAAAAAAAAAATGAAAAAAGAAAAGAAAGAAAGAAAGAAAGAAAGAAAGAAAGAACAGAATAGACAAAGCGTACATAGGCCATCCTTCTTTTCTTTTTTTCTTTTCCGTTTTTCTTTCTATGACGAGTCGAGACAGCATTCGAGCTTGGTTAATCTCAGGATGGCTTCGTACCCCCTTCCCTTCCTCTATCTCGATTGTTCGAAGGTACCCTGGAATATCTCGCATATCCGTGCTTTATCAAGCTTATCGACGAGAATAAATTTCCATATATCTGAATTGGAATTTGAAAATATTGATTGGAGAGTTGGTACGCGCCGTTTCAGTCACGTACCGCTTTCCGATAGTGAAAACGTAGAGAACGCGAAGGAAAGGAGATGAGGATTCTTGGATTCCCAATAGTTTCTGTTCGGCTCACGGAAGGAGAACGTTAAATCGTTTTCAACGAATTTACGAGGAAGGCCGGAATAAGGGAACGCGTGCTTGTTCGGAAGGCGAAACGCGGTAGTCCGTGAGGTTTCTACGTCTTCGTTCGAGAACAGAAGCGATCATCGTTCGAGAAGGTTCTTATAATGACGTAATTGAAATAGTACTTCGAAACGATACGGTTCGTAGATGTGGCATTAAATAAAACACCTGTTGTTGTTGTTGTTTTTTTTCTTTTTTTTTTTATGTGGTTTTTTTAAAACTCTACGAAACATAGGAAAGTATATATTCGTCGACTTCGAAATTACATAGCACAACATGATTATGATGATCTATACGTTCGCGCGTATTTACGGTAGCACAATTCCGCGGTCTGTTTCAAGAAATTGGCTACGAATGGGTTTTCAAATTGAAGAAAGACTCGTATCGGATTTGAAGTCGATGATTAGTCATCGATCGTTTTATCAAAATGATCGGTATTAACTGATAGATATTCGAATCTGAGTTATTGCCTTTTCTCCGTTTTACGTTTTTCTTTATCTTTCGAAAAACAATCTCGTTATTTTTAATCGCCGTAGTTTTCCTATAGTTGTCCTTTCCATTATCGTTGCATTTCCGATTATACCCGAGACATTACACAGATTTTAATCACCGATATATTGATTCGAAAGTCTTCCTGCATTAAGAACAACATCAGGAAGCGGTCGCGGTCATTCCCTTTGGAATTTCAAGTCGAGTACACACATAAAGGAGAAACCGTTCTTTTACTTCACTTTTGTGTCGGCGATTATTTGTCGAGATAACGCGACTTCGTAATATTACGTACACGGAACTTCGTCGATGAGAAGTTGGGAATCGGCTTTTACATACTCCTATATCGGCCGCTATAATGTAATCCTATTATGGGTAACGATCGATCGTGTACTTCCTAATAACTTAGCGATATTTACAAAATTGTCGTGCCAAAGTTTAGGCGTGCCTTTCGTACAAAACCGTGGAAGCTATAATATTATGGCAAATTGATTTTTTTTGCGGCCGTGCCTCTGTACCACAGGTTAGAGCTAATATTCACTGTCGATGGGTAACCCGAACGCGATCTAAGAGATCGGCGAAAGCACCAAAGCGAATTTTTTCCAAAGTCTGCGTATTTCTGCTTCAGCGACCACAAACGTAACCTTATGCAATAATGGGAAAGGCTTTTGGAACCGTCCGGGCCACGACTCTCATGAATATATGGATGGATGTTCTCGCTCAAGGTGTTTATCAAGCCGTTTTCTAGTTACGCCCTTTTCCTTTTCCGCCTGTGCATCCCTTCACGATGTACCCAAGCCGTTTTACCCTCTTCCAACACCCCTCTGTCGTTTCAGTGCAAACGTAATTTGCGCCTTAAAGTATTCCACCGTCCTCGATTTTCTTCGTACTATTCTCGATCCTTAACTTTTCTTTATCGAGCGAAAGAAATGATTCTAGTCGATCGATAAACGGATGCCTAACAAAGGTTACGGATACAATTTTCCACAAGCGAGTATTTCGTATAGTCGTGAACGTTTCGACGTTAATCAGAGGAGTAAAGCAATATTTGATTAACGATCTGAACGCTTAACGAATAATATGCAACGTTTTCGAAATTTTTACGATCGCCAGCTATCTATCAGAGGTATTAAAAAGTTGCACTGGTTTAATTCGACAGAACGGTAAATTGTATCGACTGCATGCTCAATACTTTTTCATATACCCAATAAATGCGTTACGCTCGACTAAATAAAAAATAATTTTTTAATTGCCCGTGACTAAAATCATATAGAAATCAACATTGGCATGTTTCTGCTGTATCGATCCGATCCACGAATTAAAATGGCTGGTAAAATAATATTGCTAATAGAATTGAATCACGTTTAATATTAAATCTTTTATATCTTTTTATCTTTTTATCTTTTATTATTATGTAATCGGATATGGCAATGGAAAAGAAATTAAATTAAAAAAAAAAAAAAGAAAGAAAGAAAGAAAAAAAGGAAAAGGAACCCTAACTCGTTTGGTGGACTTGCGCGAACACGTGCTCAGTCTGCCTCTGACGTTATCGCCAAGAATTATCGCAGAATCTGTGAAAGGTTTGAGTAAAAAGCTTGCTTCCTTTCGCGGATGACAAACCATTTTACGCAGTACCAATAAATTTTCGCTCGTGAAAGTCTTGAATAATATATAATTGACAAGCAGTAGGTTGCGCCATTAAATCGATAATTTTACATTTAGTCTGGATTAGAACACGAACGGGAGATCAAAAAATGAAAGATACATGAATATATATATATATATATATATATATATATATATATATATAGGGAAAGAGAGAGAGAGAGAGAGAGAGAGGGAAAGCACTGAAAGATGATTTCCACGAGTTCGCAACGCAATCACGACGCAATATCGACGCTTGTCGGATTAACCCGCAACGACGACTTCCCCTAGTGCATCTATCTAGTAATTAACCGAGCACCGAGCATGATGCCGGGAATCTCTCAATTACCTGGTGTCCACTAAGCGAGAAAGAAGAAGAGAGAAAGCTGCATTCGTTCGTTCATTTTCGCGACAGTCCTACCACCATTATTATCATCCGTTCTCACACCAACATCGACATCAAAACTCGCCTCGCTTAATTATATTTACGATCGTAATCATCGAAAGGTGTCGTATCATAAATAAGCGAATTAATTAGCGAGAGGAGGCTCTCGAAATCTAGAAATGAAGAAAAAGAAAAATCGAGAAACGAGAAACACGTAACACAATTTTCGTTTCTCTTCGCAACCTTTACTCTTCCATCTTTTTATCCGATAGAGCGATATGGACGGTGTTGGATATTTTTATAATGAGCTGACAATTTTCTCTAAAATTATGCATTACCAAAAACTTTCCTTACCAGTCTGAAACGAATGGAATTATGCAATGGCCTCATAGTCGAAAGTATCGATCGCCGGGACTTACGTCCGGTAAATTTTTTTCTTTTTCGAGGCGCGAGCAAAAGTCGAAATTGTGATCACGAGTGTAACGTTCTACGATTAACGAAAGAAAGGAAGGTTTTCGCACTTGTTCCCTTCTACCTATCTCTTTCTCCCAACATAGAGAAATGAAAACGAAATGCGTGAACGCTATCATTCGTCGAAACAGCGCGTGAAATTGTAGCTTTACACGGAAGCGCGTTACACGTTAGCGCGTTTAATTGATTTACATACGTAGACGACAGGTACAACCAGCTTGCATTTCAAATCCTTCCTGGACGGACCATTCGCATCTTTGCAAATTCATGCCCTAGAACGTACACACATATATACATACATACATACATACATCGATATATCCAATAACTAGAAGAAAGAAGGAAGGCGCGGCTTTGAGACGCAGCACGCGAACGCAGAAACGTTCACCGTTTCAGTGCCCGGAAACTTTCTTCCGATCGAGAATGGTGATTACGCAAGCGGTCGATCACTTGGATCAGAATTATGTCCGGTATCGTTTACGAGCACCGAGTGAGCGGCGAAATTGCGAGCGTCAGTCTTTACCTTCTTTCTCCTAATGAAATAGAGAAAGAAAGAAAGAAAAAGAGATCGAAGAGAGAGAGAGTAAGAGAGAGAGAGAGAGAGAAAGAGAGAGTGAGAGAGAGAGTGATAAAAGAGAAACATGCGTATGATAAGTTTTTTAGATTCTATTCACGAGAAATTGATCATAAGTGGAAGAAAGATTTCACACAAATCGATTCACGCGATTCCTTAGCCCGTGGGAAAATGTAGCTGAGAAGGCCGGACTATTTTGCGATTATTAGTTCGCGTGCGTCACGAAGCGTAGCGTTCTATGGTCCACCTTAAGACGTTCCGGGCACGACGCGTACGTTTTTCCGGGGAGTGGGTCCGTGCTAGCCACGGCGAAAGTGCTGCTGGTATATATGCCGCTGATTGCGACTATGCAACTTCAGTGTGCACTACCGAAGTCTACCATGAGCACTCCGCAGGTGAGCTCGCTTCGAAGCTAAGAATCTTTTTAGCGTTTTAGGATATTTTTTATGACAAAGGGAAAACGTACTATATAAAACGTATCGTTTACTTGTTTTTATATCTACAAATAATCGAACTCATTGTTGAATTATTATCGCTCTAGTCGATAATAGTTTTATGTTCTGTTATTTTGTTTTGCACTTTTTTTTTTCAAATTATTTATAACGACAAATAGAAGAAATCGATTTTTTGTTTTTCTATGTAAAAGGGAATATAAATGAGGTGTTAGAAATAACATGGGAATGATCTGTTAACAGGCACTCGTTCTTCTCGTCCTCGTGGCAACGGCAACGTTAGCCACCGAGACGAAGAAGCCATTAAAGAAGGAGGCCATCGATAGCAAGGACGCAAAGAGTAAGAGAGGATTGGAATTAAGTTTGGGTCATGGCTTCGGCGACTTTGGCGGGCACGAAGGACTTGGCGGCGGATTGGGAGGAGGTCATGGAGGAGGCTTCGGAGGAGGCGGATTGGGAGGAGGTCATGGAGGAGGCTTTGGAGGAGGCGGATTTGGCGGTGGCGGTGGTTTAGGAGGTGGCGGTGGATTGGGAGGTGGCGGTGGACTGGGAGGTGGCGATGGAGGACGCATAAGTTCTATAACGATCCATCGAGAGGTTCAAGTACCAGTACCTGCACCATATCCGGTCGAAAGGAATGTACCGGTTCCGGTGGCGGTGCCAGTGAAGGTCCCGGTCGATCGTCCTTATCCCGTGCACGTGCCTAAACCTTACCCAGTGCCCGTGGAAAAGCATATTCCGGTGCCAGTTGAAAAACCGGTACCAGTGCCGTTCAAGATTCCCGTAAAGGTGCCCGTCAAAGTACCATACCCGGTGAGCGTACCTGTAAAGGTACCTTTCCCTGTACAAAAGGAAGTACCTTACCCGGTTAAGGTCCCCGTGGTCGTCAAAGAATCTTATCCAGTACTCGTCCAAGGAGGAGGAGGAGGAGGAGGAGGTGATGGTGGTGGCTACGGTGGCGGCTATGGTGGCGGCCATGGCTACGGAGGAGGTGGCTTTGGAGGTCACGGCTTGGAGATTTCCGATTTTGGTGGATTGCATCATCGACGATGATATTCTTGACCATGACCGTCGAGACCAGTCTACGCCAGCGATTATCATCTTGTATATAATTCTAGTATTCCCTTCTTCCAATTCCTTTTGCATACCAACAGATGCGCTATTCCCTCTCTCTCTTTCTTTTTTTTTCTCTTTCTCTTTTTTTCTTTATTTTTTTTATACGCGGAAGTCTTTAGATTAATTGCGAAATAAAATAAATTATTTTATACAGATGTTTTATGTTGCTGCCATCTCGGAAGGTCAATGTCCTTCAATCGACAAAATACTCTTTTACACAAGACAATGTATCTCCCCTCCAATTCTATCCTCTCCTATTGGCTATGTTCACTGTAAACGTATCTATCGTCTTGAATAAGAAAAGGGCCGGAATCTCTTCACCGTTCTGTGATAAACTAGTAGGGCTTTCGTGTTCGTGGTACCAGCTTTTGTCTGTGACGCATCGTTCGCTTAATTACCAAGTACCGCCCCTAGAACTTAACGCCATGACTGTAGTTGGGAATATTGGGGATGCACGGTAGAAGATTAAGTTCTCGTTATATCCGTACGATACAGCTACCGTAGTCTTCTCGTTGATCTTTTTACAGAAGATGCAATAATAAGATGTACGAAAATTCTTGTAGGTTCTCTTGGTTCTTGTTATCTAATGATTGCGACTAACAACGTTCAAGGGGCTATGATATAAGAAACTTTGGCATAATCTCAAAATACTTTGGGCCCCGAATTCCGGTCGTACTAATTTGATACGTTATTAACGATAGAAAATATATGAAAGTATACGGGTATAATTAACAGCTCTTGCCGAATTTAATGTTGTAATGGTTATATGTTGTAATTCATCGTAATTGCCATTGCCGAACAAAAAGCGCCTATCGATTTATTATTCGTATTTTCCCGGTGCACACTTGCGCCTCATTACGTTCGTCACGGTGAAATCACACCGAGCGTTGAATCGTCCACGGTGAAACTCGTGAAAGAAAGCGAAACTATCTTGAAGCTCGAAGCGAGCTAATAAATCGCTTTATCACGCTCAAGGAATATTCATTAAGGGAATTATATTCGATCAGAAGTTATCCAACTTTACTAATTTCCTGTGAAACGCAGATGGAGGTGGGAAAGAAATGATTGAGATTGGCGAAGCTTTCAAGAGTCTTAACTGATGGGCTCAAATCACGTTTATCTTGGTATGTAATGTATTTGTATACATATTTTTTTTTTTTTTTTACTTCTTATGTATTTATATGTAGGTTTTTCTTTTTTTTTTTTTCTATATCGAAACACCTTGAAATATCTTGAAGACAATGAGCTTTTGAAACAAAAAAAGAAATGTTTCAGACAAAAGTTGTTCGTTTTCTTTTCCTTGTTTTTTTTTCTTTTTTTTTTTTTTTTTTTTATAATAAAATAAATAAGATTCTGATTATAAAGATTATTAAAGATTTCTAAGATAAAGTTGACCCTGATGTAATCTTCGAAACGTTCATTCGCATGAGAAATAATGCTCTTGTATACCATCCAAAGTAAACAATTTTTATATTAAATTTCCTTTTTAAAAAAATGCCTCGTTTCTCTGAGATATTTAGGTGTCTCAATTTAAAAATCTCATCCTTTATATGTGCATAAATACGAAACATGAAAAAAAAAAAGAAAAAAAATTGGAGTATCGTAAGTTTCATAACAGACAAAAAACACAAGCGTTACATCGGTAGTTGCAATGTTTCGTCAGTAATATGGCATTGTCGTCGCTATGAACGTCCGGTATTTAAACGACGCACTTTCTCGTATGCTTCCCAAACCATGTGATTTTCTATCGCGACGTCATAATCACTAATTGGATTTGGATTTTATCTCTCGTACTTTTCGTACGAGATAATTTGCGTCGACGGTTTCACGGGAAATAATTACTTCTTTTTCTTTTCTTTTCTTTTCTTCTTTTTTTTTTGTTTTTTTTTTTTTGTTTTATTTTTTTTGTTTTTTTTTTTTTTTTCTTACCCCCATAGAGGATAAACGAACGAGCGAAATTGCTCGTATCGTTCAGTTAATTAGAAAGATTGGTTATGTTACAAGCAATCTCGGCGTAAAGACAAAAAAGAAAAATAAAGAACCGATCGTAAGAAAAAGAAGAAGAAAAAAAAAAAAAGAAATTTTACGTTGTTTCGTACGTATGCATATAGATACATCTAGCGAATGGCGTACACGTAATGGCGAATGTAGAAAATTGACGGAAGTCAACTTTCTCGTACTTTGATCTAAGATTCCTCTTCCGTAATATTAATTATTTGTTGAATAATCATAGTGAATTGTATTTCTTAGCGGTCTGATTTTAAAGTACCATTTAGCATGCTGAATCATGGCTGGAATTCCATATTTGGTCGATGTAGGAAAAGCCGTATGCTCTCATGCAAGTCATATAATTGCTTTCATCTTATAGCTCATTCGTCGAGTCGTGCTCCCGTAGGCGAGAATTTGCATTCGCTTCTCGACTTTCGCAATACAATGTTTCATATATACGAAGATGCAATCTGACTCGAATGCACGAACCAAGGATGAAGGGTTGCGCGAGGGCTGCAGCCGTTACTGTGGCCTAATTAGGCGCGTGATCGCGACATTAAACACACGTCACGTAGTTAATCAGTGCGACATCGGAGTTAGATGGTCACGTAAACGATCGTGCCAAAGAATTTTTTCTTTTTTTTTTTCTTCTTCTTTTTTTTTTTTTTTTCATTTTAACGGCTCGCTAACGGAGATTCGTTGGTGCACGTTTTTGATCGTTATTGTGCGACTTCGTACGGGTTGATGAAAAAATTTCTCGTTCATTCCAATTTTTATCTATTTTATTTCGCTTGTTAAAAATGACGAAGTCTCAGTACACGAGCGTTTTTATTCTTCTCGATTCCGAGAAAATGTTTTGCGTATAAATAGAGCTTGACACTGTTGAAATTTAGCACTGGCAACAAATAGCTATTTCGACGAAAAAGAAGGGAAGGACACATCGTGTCGCAGCTGTGTAAACGTCTCGAAGGGGAGAGCTTAGTTTAAAGGAACTTTGCTACTTCGGGCATCCGTCACGATGTCGCGCTCGTTTGAAAAGATTCTCGACGTGACCTTTCTCTGAAGAAAATGTGTTCACGTGTGTACATGCTCGGCTACTATAGTGCCTTGAAATCAACTTTAAACATTTAACTTTAGACATTTTTTATTTCTATTTTTTTTTCTTTTTTCTTTTTCTTTTTTTTTTTTTGCAATCAAATCATTTTGCCTATAACAAAGGTGAAACGGTCGAAAGTCGTCATTAATCTTTCTCAATTTCTTTAGATAATAACGCGGATAATTCGTATATAAATGTTCTTCGATTCATTGATTCTATTAGATATTAGATATTAGATTTATCCAAGATCCAAGGAAGAAAACTTTCTTAACAACAAGAGTTGCATAGTACGTGGATAGAAGCTAGCAGGTGAAGCAAAGCTTAGCGTTTACTCGAACAGCTAGGATTCGTGTCTATATACATTTATGATGTACGCACTGGAAGCTTAACGGAGACATAAATCAGATATTAAGCCTGCTTCATACTCGGAGTCTCGTGTTAACGGATGCGTAATGTTCGATCGCTCGGTTTCACAACCGTCCAGCTGCTACGTCTATGTCTGATATCTCCGAACAATATTCTACCAAATCGGTAATTGAATGGCAGTTTGCCGACGTTAACGGTATATTTTGAAGCCGTAATACGATCGAACACATTAAATAGTTCATGATTCAACGTAAGATTGGTCGAACGATAACTACAAATTGCTTTCCTTTTCGTACCGTTGCCTGTCGTTATCTAAAAGATTAATATGGGATAGACATCAAGTGATTGTCGAGTTAACAACGAGTGGAATTAACTTTAATAACGTACGCCATCGGAAATCTCGTGTCAGTAATTGAAATATTTCTACGATAATGCAGCCGATATGTTCACGAAAGATCAATGATAAATCAGTTTTCGAAAGGAATATTAGCTTTGTCCATTGCCAATGCATGCCATAGATAGAATTAAGAGTTATATCGTTGAAAAGATAAAGGATCGCATTAAGAGACAATACTTGTTGTAATCGAATCAAAACACTCACTTTGTATAAGAAAAATTTAACGCTTCAAAATAATTTTTCCATGATATATTCTTTTATCTCAGTGAAACGATCGATGTTATACGGGAGAACGTCAACCCCGATTTTTATTTATTTATTTATTTTTTTTTCTTTTTTCTTTTTTCTTTTTTTTTTTTTTGTCACAATATATCTATTCGATGGATTGGAGCGACTTTCTAATAATTACTTCCTCGTGTCTTACATTTCTATCATGGCGTAATTGCAAGCCTATTCCCTTTTACCTCTCCATTTCCGCCCATTGATCTCCATTTTAAGATTCTCGTGTGACATTGCGTTTCCAGATAGGTTCTCATCGAAGATGGACTTTACCGATTATATTTCAAAATGCTCACGTGATATTTACTTTGCTTTTTCTTTCTACACCAAAGCTAGCTACTTAGATCTGCGATTCACTTAAGTACCGAATAGTAATCCTTCAATGGATAAACCACGTTTGTTAAGTCGATCGATGAGATGGAAGCCGGACAGTGACTTACGATTTGTACGAAAGCTTTTGAGATTTTTGTACACTTTTGTACAACGAAAGGCTTTCAGGTGGTTTGGAATAATACATGTGCAAAGAACGGGCCAGAACGTCTATATCTGAGCTTCTCGCACTTCTAATGTAGCGATGTATTTGAGCTCGCATTGAGATCGATCAAATCCTAATATTTTAAAAAAATTTCCACGTATTTGAATTCATTCAATGATTATATATCTATCGTAAGTATTAATTGAATAAAATTTATCGATACATTCATTTATTTTATCTACGTACGATCACTCACTGTGAAATATTTAAATACATTTTAAAAATGTATAATTATTTTTAAATCGAGCAAAGTGTCTTTTAAATTTTTTAATAGGCACGAATAATTTAATATGGTTTTTTTTTCTTTTTTTTTTTTTTTATATGAAGTACGTGAAGAATCAAAAAAAGTATTGTCTTTTGTTTTAACAGCTATTAGAAAACAAAACGAAAATTATTTTAATCTTTTTCAAAAGCTTTTGATAAAACACTTTTTAAAATATGCATTTGGCATTTTTTTTTTTTTTTTTTTTTTTTATATCGCGTTAAGCAGGAA